CTAAGTTTGTCAAAATCCCGAAATACCAGAGATACCCTTAAATTCAAACTTGGTCAACCATGGTCAAAGTCAAAGTTAATAGTTAAGGTCAACAGTCCATGTTGACCCAACTCGTCCAGTGCATCTAGCAACTCGTCGAGTTCCTTCAGTGTTAAGAAAACCGGGAAAAACCCTAGCCAACTCGTCGAGTTTGCTCAGTATCCAAAAGGCAGGAAAACTCGATCCAACTCGTCGAGTTGTCAGGGCAACTCGTCGAGTTTTCCCAGTCTTAAGATATTCAGTCCCTTCCAGTCGAATCTAAAGCCCTAAACTACAAATCTGGTCCCCTAGGGTTAATATACCACGTAAAGTTGCTAACTTTACATCCATGCAAGGCATCAAAGAGCTAAAACACTCAAACAAAGCTTATCAAGGGACTTAGAGCATGAAGGAGGGCCAAGACTTGATAAAGTTGGCAACTTTAAGTCCACAAAGGCAATGAGATGTCTATATCTGAAGCCATATCTTCATAACATGATCAAATCCAATAATGGTCCCAAAATAGGCTAATAATGGACATAAACTTTCAAGGGAAGAGATCTAACAAAAGAATGGTCAAGGTATCGAATTTATACCTTAATATAGCTGCCACAACAGAGAAATCCCCGGATCTAATGCTTCTCCCTTCAACTATGCACCACTAACTTCAACTCCTTCAAGAAACACCAAGGAACACACTCTTTTAACTCACACACACTCAAATATGGGAGATGAGACACAATTTAGGGTTTAGTTTCTCTGGACTGAGGGGACGATGAGGGAGGCTAACAATGAAGCTTAAGGCCTTTAAATAGGGTGCAAACCCTAAAAATTAGGGTTTTCCTTTCCAACGTCTACTCGTTGAGTTGGGGCTCCCCAACTCGTCGAGTTGAGTCCTTAATCCGCGTCCAAATAAATCCATACACGACGAGTTGGAGTTCCCCAACTCGTCGAGTTCTAGCCCAAAACCCTAAAATATTGAGAACTAAAAAAAATACCTGGACCAAGCCTTACAACTTGAGAGGTGAGTTTTCCTCACTGTACTTTCGGGTCGAAGGCACCAAGACCGATCATTTGGTTTGATAACCTGATATTGTTGATATGCTGAGTATGGAATAGATATGCATGAGTATGCTAGTTATTGATATGCTAGTCTGGTAGATTTGTAGGACTACCTGTGACACTGTTTGTTTATCTGTATGTGATATTATATGTTATATGTCGACATATTGTGTAGGTTGGGTTGAGGTTGTACTGCTTTGTGTTGTAGCCAACAAACCCTGGAGTATGCCAAATATGAGCTGAGGGCCAGGGAGGGCATGCCAGACTCATACTGAGGACTCATGAGCATTCCAGATATGAGCCGAGGGCCGGGTATGGCATGCCAGACTCATACTAAGGGCTCAGTAGCATTCCAGATACGAGCTGAGGGCCGGGTAGGGCATGCCAGACTGGTATTGAGTGCCGAGGAGCAAGCCAGGCATAGGCTGTGGGCCCAAGGGGAAGCCAGACTTATGTTGTGGGCTCAGGGGTAATCCAGTTTGTTAGATGTGGACCCATTGCATGTTGTTATTATATTTGTGTTGTTTGCTATGTATTGGAAGAAACTCACTAAGCTTTGGGCTTACAGTTTTGGATTATGTTTCAGGTACTTCAGAGGATCAAGGGAAGGCGAAGGCGTGATCGTGCTGCAGAGGCGTGACCTCCTCATGTTTTATTTCATGATTTTGGGATTTCTCTTATATTGAACTTATTTTTAAAACAATTTGTAAACAATGATGGTTTTGAGTAAATCTTAGAAGTTTAAATTTTTTGAGAATTTTATGAATGTTACAACTGAACTAAGTAGAAGTATCATCAAGGTCAATTGAGTTATCTGGCTGCATTTTTTGAAATGTGATAGGTTTTAAATGATGTTGTTTGTAGAAGTATTTTAGGGACCATTACTGTAATTTGGTCCGTGTTAAAAACCAAACTTCACTTCAATGTATAATATTTTTCCATTTTCTTTTTCTCTGATGTATTCAAGAATTGTATCATACCTTAATTGTTTGAATCCATTATGGTGGTTGTCGAGGCCAACAAAAGTAATATCCTAAATATTATACACTAAAATAGTGTATAGTGGTAAATAGATCGTATCCACAGAGATTGGTTCAATTTGTTACTTCTATGGAAATCTTGTTATACAAATACTTGTAAAACTAAAATAAAATAAAATTGGGGGATTATGATCTTTTGAGATGTTTAAAAGGAAACTAGAATTACACTAATATTTAAGAACACAATTCAACAAAAGAAAAGTTTGATGTAAAACCAATAAGAAAAAAATGGTTGACTTTGGACTTTCATTACTTGAACATTTGGTTAAATAATCATGAGAATACCAAGGTGCAATACTTGTGTTTATAATCTAACTTGGCTATAGCAATTTATAAGCATAACTTGCCTCAACTCTTCTTTTGTATTAAAATGACTAGAGAAGCTCATAGCACATTTCCTAAATCAAAGTCACAAAACTAATGAAGCATGTAATTTTGTGAAAATCAATTAGCATTAGGTTTTAAGAGTCACCAAATCCAAAGAGCAATCTATTGCTTTCATTACCACTATGTGGAGAAAATATTTTCTTAGTCTAAATGAAATGAAAACAAACATTAAAACTAATTGTTGCTTGTTAAATTGAAGACCCATTACTTAGCCAAGAATTTAACCAACAAAAATAACATTCACATATCAATATTTATGACTAGAGATATATACACATGAAGGAAGTTTTCATAGAAAATATAATCACAGATATTCAACACAAGTTCATGGAGTTCTTCAAAATAACCAAATCATTCAAGAAATTACATCCAAGTCAACCAAAAGAAGTTTATCCTAGCATGGCTAAACTCAAGAAACTAAAATAAAAATAGATAGTACCAAACATATAGCAAGATTTAAAAGTGAAAAGATGATGTTCTTCACAATGTTCTTGGTGTTCTTCAAGCTCCAAACTCCAGAGAAAAGTCAAAAAAATCGGATCTAAAGTCTCCCAAAAGTGAACCACCAACCATCCCAAAATAGAGGCAAAAGCACAAAACCCGATTTCTTCACTGCATGCTGCACGCGGACGGCTAGCGAGCACATGCGGACCATTTGTAGGACACGCAGACAATTTCTGGAGCACACGCGGACCGCATGAATTCTGCTGAGTGGGCCATTTGGCCCATTTGATTGGCACACCAGCCCAATCTTCTCATTAATGTTTCATCCCATATGCACAAACTCTTGAGAGCCCAATTATGCCTTCCAAAGCCTTCAAAGATGCTCCAATGCTCCTTTAATCTTCCATAGCTCGAGTCCTCGTCGCCTCGTCATCATCCTCGCCCAAAAATTAAGTTCAACTCGATTTCTTGTTTATGTTGACACCAAGCTCAATCGTACCGCTTCAAGTCCACAAGCAAACCGCAAGCCTCCAAAAGTCTCACACTCCTTCCATACCTCCAATGACGAATAGTCTTCGGTAAATCCTGCAAATAAGCTCAAAAGACTGGAAAGCACCCGATAAAGGAGAAAAATAACAAAGAGAAAATATGCATGAAGATCAACTAAAATGAGATGGTTTTAACTAAGAATAAACTATGCAAAGAAGTAATAAAATGAAACTATCACATTACCATTGTTGTAATTTGCACATGGGCCATTTGAGATTCTATTGAGAAGCCCCTAAACTTTGTGAAGAGTTGTTTGATGAGATTTCCATAGAATCCAAAAAACGTTCAATAAAAGTAACAAACTTCTAGCAACAATTCCACATTAACAATGTACTCTTTGAAGTTGACTTTAATAACAATTCCAGATGAAGTTAAACCAAATTTGAGAATCTATTAATTCAATTAATGTTGAAAAACATCATATGCGCCCATCATAAACATAACTACAAATGGAGTCAAACGTAAGACACTGGAAAATAAATTTGTTAATTTTACATGGTCTTTTGCATGTTAGAGGATTAGAAAGTTACCATTATGCCTAAACATGGCCTTCAAGACTCTCTTTGCAATCATCTTTGGTTAAGCAACAGACAACTTCGATGACATAATGCCTTCAATTATTAGAATAAAAAATTTACATGTTGGTTGAGAACACCTAACCATGATTTTTAAAAGTCTTTAAAATCCTTTAAAGCTACATTACAAACAATTAAAAATGTTTTATATGAACAAAATTGAAAGAAAATTTTAAAGATGTCTTGATTATAGCATTCCTCTAATTCCATATCGCCCACATAACCGTTCTTCGCTTAGAGTGATCTTGATATACGGTGGAGCCTACCCCACAACACAGTTCTTATATATGATTACGGTCCTAACCATTACAAAAATGGTCGGTGTAAGTCACCATTACACAAAGTAATAGTCCATGTGTAAATTACAACACTAGCTCCGTACATAATACATTGTTCAACATAATAATTATGTGAGTAATCAATATTCCGAACTTGCAATCAAAATAGATAACCATAATTTTTATTCACAAGTAGAAAATTGTTGATAGCTCACTGTTTCTAATTGGCATTTCGTAATAGTATGTACTGATGTTGATTCAATGATGACAGTGTGAGAGCGACGTACGACCCTTGCATCTTTGAAGCATGTATACATACACAATCAAATTAGGATTGAATGTGCATGTACATGTGTGTAAGGTGTGATGTATTCTGCATAATAGAGTTCCAAAAGCATTAGAGACAATGTAACAATGATGTCAACTCGGTTTTTGTTAAAAGGGTTTTAATAGTTAGGGGTAATATAGTTAGTCTACTATTTTTTGAATTATAATGCTTAGAAAACATAAAAATTGGTTATAATATATTAAAAAATGTTTAAATAAAGATTGAGGCAAATACGTTTAAAAAGGACTATGATTATATTGTACAATATTTTGTGGGTTAATAAGGATACATATAACCTTATTATTATTATTTTGGTAATCAAATCTAAAAGGTTTGATGTTGAAAGGCCATGGACTCGTGGTTCATTCGGAAGTTCTTCAATGCTTCCAACATAACCACAACATCTCTTTCTCCTTCTCGCCTAGAATTTAGCTAAAACCTACAACCCCCCCAATCAAAACCTCTGCTTAACCATGGAGCTACCAAAATTTATGTTCGCTGGCGTTCTAATCTTAGGGTTTCTATCCATCGTCGCACAATCCATCCGTTTCGAGATCGAATCGGGGCATACAAAATGCATATCGGAAGACATCAAAAGCAATTCTATGACAGTCGGTCACTACTCCGTAGTTAATCCCAATGAAGGACAGCCATTACCTGACTCCCACAAATTCACTATCAGGGTAAATCAAATACAATCAATGAATGAATCAGAAGTTTTCACTTTCTTAAGCTAGAAATCGTCAATAACGATGTACATGTTTTGTCCCCCAATTCGATAACTTGAGTTTTATTATGCATTTGCTTTTCTTCTATAGAGAATTCTGATGTTGCAGAGTTCTGAACTTCGTTTAATTACTAGTGGAGATGTCAATTTTGGGGTTTCAGTTTTTCGATTTCGTGTTTATGTGTTCAAATTTTCGCGAATTTTGGAATGAAGATGTGATTTTGTTACACGCTAAACACGATCTGATTGAACTTGTTCTTCCTTCGTAACTCAGGTGACTTCGGTGTACGGGAACTCCTATCACTACGCCGATCATGTACAGTCGGGTCAATTTGCGTTTCAGGCTACTGAGGCAGGGGATTACATGGCATGCTTTTTTGCCATCGATCATCATCCCGCCATTAAAATTCCTATCGAGTTCGATTGGAGATCTGGCTTGGCTGCTAAAGATTGGTCTAATGTAGCCAAAAAAGGTTCTGTAGATGTAAGTATTCTTCCCACAATGCATACAATCAATCATCAATGCGATATATCAAATTTCAATTGCTAAATTTGTTCTTTTTATAGGCAATGGAGTTGGAGCTAAAGAAGCTTGCAGACTTCGTGACTTCCATTCATGAAGAGATGTTTTATCTCCGAGAAAGGTGATTCAACAATCTTTGTGTTTCCATTGCTGCACTTATTTAGGGTTAATGGGATGTGATTTATTTTGTGGTTGTTACAGGGAACATGATATGCAAGAGCTTAACAACAAGACAAATTCAAGAATGGCGTTATTGAGTTTTCTTTCACTGTTCGTCTGCTTGTCAGTTGCAGGTTTGCAAGTATGGCATTTGAAGTCATTTTTTGAAAAGAAGAAGCTCATTTAAGTCCCATAGCATAGTTGAAAAATGAAAAAAAAAAAAAAAAAAAAATTGCGCATCAAGGTTAATAGTTGTTGTAAACATTTTTTTTTTTTTTTTTTTTTTTAAGCATGAGATCTTGTAGTTTGTTGTTGAATACAATATAGACTTGTTAGATACCACTTAATTATATGGCTTTTTTTTTTAATATTAAAACCTTTCTTTTTTATAAATGTTAATTCCAATAATGTGTTAACGACATTTTTAATTGAATATTTCAAGAAAATAAAATTTAATTCAACAAAAATTTGAATATTTCAAGAAAAAAACTTAATTCAACAAAAAACACGTTTAACCATGTTTTTAATTTCTTATAACCAAAACATAAAACTTAATCTTGTTTTGTTGTATATAGTTTTTATCATTTGTTACGTATTACTTCAATTATTGTATTTTAGGATATCATACTAGTTAAACTATTGTATGTTTTAGGTATCTTGCCATTCAAAATATGTAATTAGTTCTTGTTAATGGAGAGTATTGTGTATTATATTTAATTTCCAGTTAATAGTATTTGAAGCCTATGCAATATTTGAATATCAATAAAATGATGTGGAAATCTACTGAAACGAGTCAAAGTTTAATAAATTTTAAAGGTTAAAAATAAAGTCCAATAGGAAAAGGGATGTTGATGTTTGGAGAGTATAATGGATAATGGACACATGTAGCTAAAATTAATATTTTGTTTTTTATTAAGAAACCAAGCCACATCAGAATTAGCATATTTTAATATACAATATCAAAATTCGTGATTTAAAACAAATTGTTTATCTTTTTAGATGATTTTTTTATTCATATTTTTAGTAATCTTAAATAGAATAAAAACTAATAACAAATAATAATTTTTAATAAAATGTTGGGTATGTAACTATGTATAAAGTGTACAAAGTTGGAATTGGATTGGGCCATTGGGGTTATGGTGCACAATGAGGATAAAAAAGCGGATCATTTCGTTTTTCCCCTAACAAAGACAAACCAGGTTTATGTTCTAAAAAAGCGGAACCTCTCTAACCGATTTTTTAATAACATATATTTTCATTATTAATTTTTGTGTCAGAATTTAACGATATTTGTATGATTGATCACAAAAACACCAAAAAAACAAAACTCAACGTTTAACGTGTCAAAATGACATTTTTTTTATATATATAGACACAAATGCCAAACTTTGATCTTTAATAGATCTTACCCAACTTATTGGACTATTAAATATGACTAAGACATAACTTTATCAAACAAATTGTCCTTTTAACTTAAAAAAAATGCACTATAATTTGCAACATTATCTTCAAGGAAAAAGGACAATAAACATAGCATTTACAAGGCAAGAATCAAAAGTAGAAAAGCAAATGCAAACAACTAAAATGTATTTCCATTCCAAGCAACAACACTTTTGTGTGGTATAAACAATAAGATTTCATTATTCAAAAGAAAAAAAAAAAAAAAAAAAAGTCTGAAAATTCGTCAAGTTCCTCAATACTTACCTGAAAACCTTAGGTGTAAGTAAAACTAGCTATTTAGATATATATATTTTTTCAGAAATAGATGATGATAAATTTGTTATTAATTAAAAAGATGCCAATGATGATCTGGGTGTATCGTTTCCTTAATTTTTTCAAGCTTCTTTAAAATTTCCAAAAAAGAAGGTCTCTTGTTCATATCTGCTGCCCAACAATTGTCGATCAACCTACCAAATATCATCATACCAATTACAATTAAATTATGTTTAAATTTATTAACACTAATATTATATTATTATATAACTGACTTACTCTTTCAGTTCAGGGGTGTAACCTTTTGCTCTAAATGCAGGTCTGTTTCCTTCCGCTACATATTTTGCTGCTTCATAAGCTTCAAAATTTGATAATGGTGGCTCACCCTCAATCATCTATAAAAAAAAAAAACATCCAAAACATCATTGTCAAAAAATCTACTATTTGCAATTCTGGTCCCCGAGTATAGCTCTTTCTCAAGTTTGGTCCCAAAAAGTTTCCTTTTCCAAATTTGGTCCCTTATCTGAGATTTTTGTAACATTTTTGGTCCAAGAAGTAAAAAGACTACTTTTCGGACCAAAACTGAAAAAATTAGCTAAACTCAGGGACCAAAACTGTACTTTTTATCTAATAAAAAAGAAATTACCTCGAATAATATCATCGCAAAAGAGAAGACATCGACTTTTTTGTCATATTTTCTGTGCTTGAAGACTTCAGGAGCCATGTAACGATCTATATATTGTATACCATGAAAAAAAACAATTAATAAAAAAACTAATCTAATAAATATTATAAGGGAAAAGTAAAACTATAGGATATAAATAAATATATATGATGCATACAGCTTCCAGTTTCTCCAGTCATTTTATAAATATCATGAGAATTTTGAACCCTGATGAGTTTGCTAAGTCCAAAGTCTCCAACTTTTAGATGATCTGCATTGGTGTTCACTAAAAGAACATTCCTGAATCAAAAACAAGAAAACCCATATCATTATTTTATGTACAAAAATTAAAAAATTAATATATTTTATAATAAGATTTTTTCTTTGACTTTCAAAAGGACACAAATATCAAAGATCAAACAGATAATATTTTATGGTTATTTATTTAAATACTAATGTCAACCGTTGTTAAAAAAAATGTGATGTATGTTTAAAAAGATGATACATTATAAGAGAGGACTTTTTATAACATTTAAGATAGATAAGGATAAATTAGTTAATTTTTAGAGATTTTTCTTTTTTTTTTTTAAATTGACCATTGGAGAAATTTTTTTTACAGTAGGTTTTTGTTAAATAAAAATTAGTGGAAAGCTGATGTGGCGAAAGTAATAAGGTAAACAAACCTTGGTTTTAGATCCCTATGAACAATGACATTAGGCTCATTATGAAGATAAGCCATTCCTCTGTAGACATAAAATGTTAACAAACTCAAACTTAGTACTTTACTCTTTTACCAATATAGGCAATATACTTACATTTATTTACCATAATAGCCACGTAATTTTATTTTTTAATAATAATAGCAATATGTATTAAATAAAGTACAATGCCTATAAATATATTGCTATTATGGCTAAAAGAAAAGTACATTGCTCATATTGATAGTGAGAATAAGATAATTTTGATATTTCCTGTAATTTGTGTATCATATTCATAAATAAATAAAAAGGTACCTTGCAATGTCTAAAGCAAAGTTTATAGCTGTTGTTGGACTTAGTGCACCCTTCTCTTTTAAGCACTGATGAAGATCACCCTGCATCCATATATCAATTTTCAGACCTTGAAACCTTATAAAATGTTTTTTCTTTTTTTTTTTTTTTTTTTTATGTGATGTTAGTCTTAATATATTTATATACCCCTCGTAGATACTCGGTTATCAGCATTAATGGCTTCTTTTCAGTAACAGCTCCAAGAAATTGCACTATATTAGGGTGGCGAAGTTTGACCAGCAAATTGACCTCATGCCTGAAGTCCTGACTGGATTCAAAGGTAATAAAATATTATTTTTTAAATTCTAAGAGTAAAATTTTATCATTATTGATAAACATAAGGAGACTCACATCACCAATTTGTCATCTGAGAGACTTGGAAGTATACGTTTTACAGCTACTGGTGTTCCACGCCAACTTGCTCTCACAATTTCACCAAAGGAACCCTAATTTGATGAAATAGTTATTATCATATTAAGATGATAAAAGATATTTAAAGATTAAAGAAAAAGAAAGCAGACCTTTCCTATCATGTGTGAGTTTGTGAAGTCCAGCTCAACAGGATCAATTTCCCAGTCACACTTATTTGGGAGAGGTGGTGGGACAGGTCTTGGTTCAAAATGGCTTCCATTTTGGCCCTGTATAAAAGATGCCAAATTCTTTAGGCCTATAAAAGCATATAAAGATCACCTTAACATGTGCAAGATAACATATAAAGATTCTTTACTGAAAATGTAAAGGCGTGCAACATGAAATGCATCATAACGTATAATCAAAATAGAGTGATGAGTGTTGAACTTACATATGATAGGCCACCATAAGACTTTAGTAACTCAATCATGTTATGTTTTCTAGCTCCTTCTGCATCAGCTAGAGGCTGTCATGAGTAGAATCAAGTAATGTGAGTTGATCAAATGTATTGAAAGCTTAGAATAAGTCAAGATTAACTCAGTAATCAATTGTCTGAAACTATTAGAAAGATCGAGAAGAAGCTGAATGTATTGCATATTAACGAGTGGGCATAACTCTCCTAATCTTGGTTTGTTTGTAACACATGTACACTCATATACATATTGGCTTAGCTATGTGTGTTCCTGATATAAGCTATCTCCTAATGTGCAAAAGCTAAGAGTACCTGCAAGGCTGCAAACAACACCTTGATCATTCATTGTGCCTTACTTCCTTTATCCAAAGATTATAGACACAGATTCGAAACCTTATTTTTCCCCAGTGATGAACGAAAACCTTACTTGTTCTGTTGTTCAACGAACTTTCAATTACACTTCTAAAATATAAGCATAAAGGATTGTAGGAACTCAAACAAGTCAAGTGAACCCTGGCAATTCGTTTCTTAGATTTCACCGATCTCAATTGAATTACAACAATTCCTCAATTACAAGCATCTTAAACTACAACTGAGTAGAAAAATTAGTATTCAATTTGTTTGCAGTGTGTACATTCTTACCGTGTTTTTCCAGCGATCTTGCGCGTTAACGTCGGCACCGTACTCAATCAAGCATTTAGCAACTTCGATCCATCCATGAAGCGAAGCGACATGAAGCGGAGTTCGATTATCATAATCCCTGGCTTGAACCAAAGACTGATCTTCCACCAATAGCTTTCTCACGGCAGCTGGATCGTTCTGGTGAGCGTGCCACAGTATCAACGACGTTCGGCTCACTTTGGCCTTATCCCTCTTCTTCCCCACCACCGGCGCCGGCGCTGGCGCATCTCCGGCTGAATGTCCAGAGCTTCCTTCGCTCCCACTCATTCAATTTCTCAGATCGGAGATGGAAAATTGAGGTTAAATATGTGATTCGCTGCTTTTTTGGGTTCAATGATGCATCAACCGATTTATAAGAATTTAAATGTTATTAAAATACTAAAAAAGTGAACGAATTTCATTTCCCACTGTTGAGTGACCCAACACTATTTCTTGTTATATACAGCATGTCAACACCCATTAAATTCTGTATATAATTGATTTTTTTTATATGAAAAAGTATTTTTTTCATAATTGTTATTAAATTAGATCTAGTTAAGTGAAGGTCTAATTGAATCAGATATAATGGAATAAATCAAAATCTAACTGAGTCGGACCAAATTTTACCAAACCTAAGAACATATCAAACAATCTCTTAAAAAGGTAAAATTTTTGTAAAAATCATTTGTGTTTATGTATTTTTTATATAAAATTTTTTATTTTATTATATATATATTTTTTATAGTAAAATAATTAAAAATATATTTCTATTTTTATGTATATACCAAGTTACGATATTTCTCTTAGATATTATTTTGGGATTATCCATAATTCCAAGGGTTTCAAAAGTTTCGATGCGTCATTATTTGGATCTATCCTAACTCAAATAACTAGATGAAAATAACTGTACTTATTCATTATTTTTCAATAAAAGATTGCAACTTTATCCAAAAACAGTTGTATATTATGTAACAAGTGGCTCATGGTTCAATCATAACGTTTTTTTTTTCCTAATATTAAATAAAAAGGATGATTTATTCGAAAGTTTGTTTCGGTTCAATTAATCCAATTATATTGACTTTATCTTCTTTGACTTTCTGTAAAGATATAGGCTGGTGTTAATAGTTTTAATTAGAAAAGATTATATTTGTTTTTTATGGAAGGTCGACATGGGAAGTAGCGAACCATTGAGGATTTGAGGCTTTCTTTCTTCTTTGTAATCAGTAAGGAAATAAACAATGAAAGAAAATTCAAGTGGCCATAGAATAATTTGGGAAAAATATTATTATATATCTACATACAGATTACAAATATTGGCAACAACTTACAACACAAATTATTGTGTCATTATGTGGGTGTGCTACCACCGAGAGATGCATATCCAAACAGGTTTCTAAAAATAATCGAAAGGCCAAAAAAAAAAAAAAAACGGTTTGATGGAAAACCGGATATGTGCAAAGGAACGGATCTAACCAAATCGTCGGTTTAGGACCGGATCCGGTTTGAGAAATTTGGTTTCAAAATTGGTTTAACCGGTATATCCATGTTATAGTTAGGATTAAAAATGATTTTTTTTTATTTAATGTTCCAAACGGCTATACCACCATTTAAAGCTGTTTTTTTCTTTTGGCTAGAATGACCACATGAATATGCCCATGCTAGGCTTAGTAAAAATAGGCGTTGGGTGAATTGGACTCGCCACACCGCTTAAATGCTTTCTAAGATCATAATCTCAACTAATTTTGAATTCTCATATTCTCAATTATTTTTTTTGTTATATATTTTTTGATCAAAAAATTAATCCTCACAAGCATCCATTGAGGGAGGCTCATGCAACGGAACAAATGAAGATGTTGTTGCTATTCTAAGCATACCCAAAATCCAAAAAAACTTCAATATGTGTCGATTGTCGAATGACAAGAAAAGATGTGTTGCAAAAGATATGGTAAGTTTTATAAAACTCATGGAAACACCACCTTGGAAATTAAGGCAAAAAATTAATTCAAGATACTTAAACAAGTTGTGGCCCCGACTCGACAAGCTACAAGATTCGTTAACGAAGTTCGTGATCCCAAAAGCCATGTCTTTTGACCACTTTGACAACACAAAACTTACAAACACCATGAAATAAAAAAAATCAAGTAAGTCACACTACCATTTTATGTAGATAAAAGCTTATCGATACAAGAATATAACTTTTATGTATTCTAACAGTAAGTCAAAGAAAATTTCCAATAAAATAAGTTGAACAAAACTTCCCCTTCACAAAAATACAACTTCATGTTGATAAAAAACTCCAATCAATCTAAGGGAATCAACACAAGTTGTTAAATGCCTTTCTGAACAAGCAATCTAAATGAATCAACATAAATTGTTAAACCGGTAGAGATTGAAGCTTTTGATGAGTTTTGAAGATTATTAATGGAGAATCACTCCTTGATTCCCCCTACTTGAAATTGATGGATTGAATGCTGCTACAAAAGTGTTAGGACAAAGTTTCCAACACTAAACATCCATTCCGTCAAGATAAAACTATATAAATGACATTATTTGAAGAGTTGGAGCTTAGAATTATAACACCCATGTTCCAAATTGGTTTAGCTATCTCTTTTAACAAGGACTAAGGGTGGAGTTTTGGAAAAACTCTATGCCACGATGTGGTGCAAGGATGCCCACGACATGCCATAGAATAAATGAACACATGTTTTACTGGATCGCCACGGCGTGACAGATGTTCTGGCCCAATCCCAAGATCTTTTAGGGTTTCTTCCGTATTTAAACCTCACTACCTTGAACCTAGGGTTCTTTATCATCCTCCATCACCCTCAAGCTTCAAAAACCCTAAACCTAATTCCTCATTGTGAGTTGTGAATCCATTTTGGTGATTTTGATTGCTTTTGAAGGAAGAAGAGGCATTGGAAAGGATTGTGGTGCTTCTTGGCTGGAGTGAAGATCACTTTTGGGCATCTCTGGACCTTTTTAAGTGTCCAAGCTCCTTGCTTTATGCTTCTATGATGATAGATCTAAAATTTTGTCCCATTTTCTTCTTGTGTTGCCTAGTTGGAATGGAAAGATTCCATAAAGTTGGCAACTTTATAGATCCTAGAAGTCCCTTTGAGATCATATGTTGTAGATGTGATGTTCCATGGTGTATGTTATCCTATGCATGAGTTTGAAGCCCCTTTATCACTTTTGTTGACCTAAAATGGAGGAGACATGCATTGGACATGCATGTCCATAAAAGCAGCCAACTTTATGGCTTTTGGGGTAAAGGAAAACCCTTCTGGAAAGTTTGGGCTTATGTCTTTTGTGATTAAGGACTTAATGGTTGAGTTATACTTCTTGATGAACTTTAGAACCTAGGTTTAGAGATCTAGTCCTAATGGAGTGTCTTAATGGATATGTGTGTGTGTGAACACCATATAAAGCGAGAACGACTTTTAGCTTCTGATTAAATTTCATCCAACGATTAAAGATAAAGATTGATTAGTTACTAAATGTCAAAAAATTTGGGTATCCTAAAAAACTCGACATAAGATATTAGAAAGTTATAATGTGCACAAAAGAAACAAGTTAATAGATCTAAAAAATCTTATGAAAAAATTTAGTGATTCAAGCGAAAATTTATGAAGTCTGCGGACCACCTCCGCAACAAAAGATGTGAACCAAACGGCTGCAAACTGTAATAAGAAACATGTTTGTTTTTTAACATCTGCGGACTACTGCAGTAAACTGAAATTTAAATAAACTAATTTTATAAACTGAAAATAGCTCTCTACATCAAAATTTTAATAATTCTAGTCTTAAAACATTGAAAAAAATACTAAAAAGAACAAGTAAAAAAACAAAAATATAAAATTTCTAAAAAAATCTAAAAAAATAAAAACGAAGCTATAAATTTTATTCTAGAAAAAAACTAATTTTAAAAAACATAAAAAAGAAAATAATAAAAAAATTAAGAAAATATTACAAATAATGTCTACAAAGTTCATAAAAAAGTTACACATGTTAAAAAAATCCAACCTAAACTGAAAATATTATTAACAGAAACGGTAAAAAAAAATTTAAAAATCAAAGTTTAAAAAAACAAAAAAACTCAAGTTATAAAAAATCGTGGAATTTATAAAAAGAAATTGTATCAAATCCATAAATCAAAGTTTAAAAAAAATCAAAGTTAAAAAAAAAAATCAAAGTTTTAAAAAAAATCAAAGTTTAAAAAATAAATAAGCTATACCAAATTTCTAAAAAAATCACTTGAAAAAAATGAAAGCTGAAGAGGTTTGAAGAAACAAATCAAGTGTTGCGCCGCGCAGAACACACGCAAATGTTTTATAGTCTGAAGTCTTCCAAAAAACAAATTGTTGCAAGATGACAAGTGTTGTGCGTGTGCTGTATCACACAACAAAAAATAGTTTTAAGAGGTTTTTAAAAAAAACAAACAACGCCTAAAATAAGTACTTGGACGGTAGTTCAATGACAAATTTCAACTTTGGCCTTCAATTTTTATGTTTGGGAAAAATAAAAGAGGCAAATAGGTACAAGATGGGTTTTTTAATAACTTAAGTTAGGTATGTACTTAATCCATTAAGTCATTATGTCGAAATTAGTCAAAATGAAACAACCATATGTATAATTTGTCAAAAATAAATAACCATATGTAATTGACTTAAATGTCTAATTCATTCAATCCATTAAGTCTAACAATAAACACCGCCACATGCCTTCGATGGATTATCTTGAGTAGCGATGGCAACGGGGGCAGGAAATATAGGGATCCCCATCCCCGTTGGCGAATCCTCATTCTAATCTCCATCTCCGTCCACGAATCCTCATCCCCATCAAGGAATATTAATGAATCCTCATCCACACCCCCAACGAAGACCGGGGATCCCCAACAGGAAATCGGGGATTTAATTTTTTTCTCTTTTAATATGAAAACTTTTACCTAAAGAAAAACTCTAAATTTTAATTTTACGAACATAAGTTTAAAGATTTTAAAAAAACATAAAAATATTCATAGATTGCATAAAAGCTATAAACAAATTTTCTACCAAATTTAAATACATACATGAAAAATCAAGTAGAAAAAAAATTTACCAAGCCATATTTAAGGTAAATTAGATAAACCAAGATAAAAAAAAATTATACAAGATATTAATCTAGATAAAAAAAATACAATTTCAACAAAATAGTTATTAATGAGTTGAGTTACTTAGATCAAATTTTAGGCATTGTGAATTATGTCATAAATATATGTTTTTATTATTTTTATATATTAATATATATCGGGACTGGGGTCGAGGATAAATGATATCCCCATTCGCGTCCCCAACCCCGATCAACTTGGGGATTTCCCAGTCAAAACGAGTGCTCGTTTCGGGTTCCCATCGGATATGTTTTTTTTTTTGTTTTTTTTTTGTTTTTTTTTCATCTCTAATATTGGGTTGAAATTCACGGTATTCGTACATAGGTTGAATTATTAATTAAGGAATGTGAACTCCACATTAGGGACGAGAATTTGGCCCCGAAAACCCGAACCGAACTGAAAACCGAACCGAACCGAACCAAATTAGACCCGAATAAGCAATTCGATTCGGTTTTCGGGTATCTATGTAAGGCTTATTCGGTTTTCGGGTTATTCGGTCCGGGTTACCTGAATAAGGGCTTATTCGGTTCAAAAGGACCGAACCGAATATGAAAAGTCACATTTTTTTTCCTAACACGATTGCTTATTCGGTCTTCTTTTCTATCGATCGTTACCCAACAAAACCAACGTAATACACCAAAAAAATCAACGAAATCGAATTCAATCATCCGTATTACACCAAATCGACAATAGCGTATTACACCAAATCGACGAGTCGACAACATTACTCCTTGATCGATTGAGGTTTTTCTCATCCTTGCGACATTACTCTTTGATCGACAGTTGCAGCTGCTGCCCTTGCGACTTGCGATAACCTAGACTCATTGATCGATCATCACTAGTTTAAAGTTCAAACTTCAAAGTCCATTCACGATAAGAAAAAAAAGTCGGCCCTTGCGTCTGGAAAAAATAATCGTCTCCTCATCCTTGTTTTCTAGTTTCTAGTGTGATCAAACTCCATTCAAGTCATGGAAAATTGGGTTCCAAATCAAGAAACTCAAGTAAGTATTTGTATCTTAATCTACTACTCAATCGTTCAATGTGTTATAATGTATGTTACTCATTGAAATTTGAATGTGTTAATCTACTACTCAATCTTTTAATTTGTTTCTTTAAAAGATTTGTTATGAAATCATAAGCTACAAAAGTCATACAAAATACAATATTTATAATCACATTCTAAATGTTATTTGGGTTATCCGGGTTATTCGGCTTCTTAATCATCTTGTACATGTTATTTGGGTTATTCGGGCCGGAATCGAACCGAACCGAATAATACCCGAACTGAACCGAACCCGTATTGCTTATTTGGTTCGGTTTTCGGTTCATAAAGTTACCCTTATTCGGTTTTCGGTTTATTCGGGTTCGGTTCGGTTCGGTTCCGACCCGAATAACATCCCTACTCCACATGATCCACCAATATATCCAAGAATTTGATTATAAGCTCACCCTATTTTAGCCAATTTTTCCAAAAAATTCAAAATCAAAATCTGGGTTCGACATTTTCACTTTTAATGCATGAGAAATACCTTCCATAGTTATTAATATTTATAAACCATCATTTCCAAGCATTTAATACTCTTCTTCTCCACCATCCAATTCCGATTTTGTCATGTCTTTTCCTGTCCTTTGTACTTAACAAACTGGGCCTAACTTCCTAAGGGGCTGTTTGATATATAGCTGACTGGGTCTGGTCAGCATTTTTTCACTGACTCGGTCCAGTCAACTTGTTTGATAAGGGCCAATTTAGGCTGACTCGGTCAGCAATCACTGACCCATCTCATGACTCGGTCTGTGCTTAAAATATGGCTGACCCAGAGAAAAGACTTTTATGCCCTAAAATGAACGCCTCATCGTTCGGCTCTGTTCCTCCTTTCCTTCTTCCACCACATGGACTTTAATGCCAGCTCCTCACTCCTGCCATGACGACGTCGCCTAAAGAAGAACGCTGACCTCCACCTATCTCAGCACTGGCCTCCACCTATCTGCCAACATCGACGTCCGCTAGCCTCCGCTAATTAGGTATTTTCTTCTCATCTTTTTTTGAAATCACCGCTTACCTCTGCTGCGTCTCTCTTCCTCATCTCAAATTGATGTTTATTTCACCAGAAGAGAATACTCCACCATCGTGAAATTAATAGGCTTGAAATCAGACTTTCGCATCTGAAATCGATGCTGATTTCACCACTGGTCTATCAATTTCAACTGTAATGATATGCATACTCTTTCATGGGGTGTTCACTGTGTTTCCTTTCACGTCCTACTATGTATATTTAGGAGATGGGTTTATTTGGTGTTCATATTTTTTTTACAGATGTTGTTATTGGTGCTACTTATGAGGCTACTCTATTCCAAATATACCTCATCTTTTTGCATTATACATCATCGGAGTTGCTCCTCAGTTCTTCTTGGCGGCTGCTAAAATTGTGTGGGTTTGGACTAAAATGCCCCTGAAGTTGATGTTACATACTTTTAATTATTAATCGTTGCTAAATTATTAATTTTTGCTAAGTTGTTCGAGATCATCGAAGTGGTTAATGATTGTTTGCTGGAATTTTGTTGCATAGTACCTTGCCCTTGGTTGTTTGCCTCCTAAAGTACAATGCCTTTTGCTGCTACATCGCAGCGTCCGCCTCTCTTCAAGGTCTCATATGTGCTAAGGTTCCACTGTTTGCTGCTGGAGCTTTATAAAATTTGAAATTATTTACGTTTAATTTGAATTTTGTATGACATTTTGTATAACTATTCATCAATTTTATTGACATTGTAAGAAATGGATACATTTAATTAATCATAAACAAAACAAAAGGGTAAAATGGTCATTTTCAACAGTCAACATATTCAGTCAGATGGATAATCAAACAACATAGTTTCAGTCAGAAATAGATGCAGTCAGAGCTTCAGACCGTCCTGATTGAGTCAAATATGACTCAGTCAGCAACTATCAAACAACCCCTAAGTCTGTTCATTGATACTAAATAAACACTGCAATTCCTTGCTCTTGTAAACTTGTACATATAACACATACATGTATATAAATAAAAGGTGATTTACAAACATTACACAAATCCACAACTTAGATTACATAGAACACAAACATAGCAGTCAATATGCAAAAGCTCAATGACATATATATACGTGCTATAAGCCATATGCAACTCTTAGCATTATTATGCTTCTTTTAAATATGTACTTTGCAATGTGAACAAACACCCTTGGTTGAGCTGATGAGGCTTCATTCATTCAATCAATCTGAGAAAACACAAGAAAATAAAACGATAAAAAGGTGTTGTTTAACATGTTTATGTTTTGAATATACAGTGTATTTATATTTTCATAATAAAGGGTTTTCCTTTATTGTCTAATAATTTAGATATTGTCGACCTTTTGTACTTTCTATTGCTTTGTTTTTAAGATATAAACATTGATAATGTGCAAGTTGTGAAACATTTATACTTAAGCTATCTTCCAAAAACTTGAATCATTTGTGGCATAAAGAAACTGAATATAAAAACAAATACAATTTAACATGAAATTTATAAAAAATAATATGATAGAAACTTGATAATGGGTTGCGTTTTATATCAATGTCTTTTCACAACAAAACAATTACTATGTTGTTTATTATACAAAAAAGTATAATATGTATTATTATTTTTTTTGTAATTTTCCTTTTGATTTCTATTCTCATTTAATCTACACTTCATATAACTTCGTTGTCATTTAGAAAGCAACTACGAACAAAGAAGATATTCCTTATTAGTACAAGTCTTAAACAACAAAACTTGTAGCTCAAAGACTCGATTAGATATTGGTTGTTGAACCAAACTTCTAATTACATTGTATTTTATATGTAAAAAAGTTAAGAATAAGTAAGGGCCCTACATATGTAGTAAAATATATGCGATTCTTGACCTTATAATGATTTTTCAAATATGTATTTGCAATATGAAGAAAACTTACATGAAAGTGTCAAATTGGCTTCCAGTTTGCCGTTGGACCTATCATGAGTGGACTATCAACCACAACCCGAAACACTGGAACTCTTCTTCTAGCTGATAGGGCTTCATTCATTCGATCGATTTGGAGAAGAAGTTGTTTTATTTTCTGGAAACATAGAGGAATAAAGTATCATAACAAGCAGAAATCAATGACATGTAAGCTAAAAACGTGATACTTGTAGGAAGAATCTCAAAAAGCTAAGTATAACAATCTGTTCTCCTAAGCATTTCATCAAACACCTGGCGTCCATATCCATTAAAGGACATGCCCTCATGCACAAGTCTTACAATCTACAGAAATCAAACAATATAACCCGCATATACAACGCGATATAATTACAATGAGATGTTTTAAATTGATATGTTGAAAACTTGAAATAGTCACGGAAGGCATATAAAGCTGATTGCCAAACTGACCTCATCTTTCTGATTTATGAGAAGCTTCAGCTGATCCTTACTCTCTTTCGCCGCTAACATCCGCCGGCGCTGCCATTGCATTCCGTACACCATCACCGACGCAAAAGCCGTCACCGACGCAATTGACCAAAATCCAATTCTGTCACGGATCCCGTAAGCAATCGTCAAAACCCATGAGCTCAAAATCCTGAAACTGGCCTTTAGTTGCGTGCTTCTCGTTTCGGGGGGCTGTGGCAACTCACCCTCGACTATCTCAGTGGAAGAAGGGTTTGATGACGAAGAATACGACGATCGTGGCGAGGGCGTTTCCAGAACTGGTTCATGGAGGTAGTCATCTTGTGGTGGTTGAGTGAAAACGAGTAACCCCTCGTGATTGCTTGGAGCAACACCCGAGGCATCGTGGAAATTGGTTGGTGTGGCCACCACCACCGCATCGCCGACGTCTTCATCCGATTGAGTGGCGGAACTGGATGCTTGAATTGTCTCCCACTCGTTGTCCTCCATGGGAAAGGGAAAGTGGAGATTTTTTTATTTTTATTTTTTACGATGGAGGTTCTAGAGATGCCACTATAGACTATGGAGCTTATGCTGAGCCAGAACTTCACATTTTGCGGTGACCCAATCAGTCTAATCCAGTTGGGCCATCCGACTGAGTGGAAGTGGAACGAAACCCGTTTCTTCCTTCCTACTCGCTACCAAAATAATTAAATAAAGCATTAGAATATTGTGTCAATATGGGCTAACAATTCAAGAGGTACTGGAAAGATGTTCATTTTCCATTGGGAATATGATTTATTAAGGTAATTAACTTTTTGGTTTGTTCATATCTAGGTAACTATCTTTTTTTTTGTATACATTTAGGTAACAAACTTGTTGGAAGTGTTCACATATGACCATTATGACATGCTGTAGCAGATTACATTCTAGATGTGAACACTTTTAACAAGTTCGTTACCTAGATGTATACAAAAAAATAGTTACCCAAATATGAACAAAACGAAAAGTAAGAGTAAATTACACGAATGGTCCCTGTGGTTTGGGGGAATTTGTGTTTTTGGTCCCTAAATTATTTTTTTAATTCGGATGGTCCCTACTGTTTATTTTTGTTGCGTGTTTGGTCTCTGTCTTACCTAAAAAGACTATTGTGCCCTTATTAATTTATTTTTTTAATTAATTTTCTTATTTATGTATTTATTTTTTATATATTTAAAAAAATTAATAGACCCCACATTATGTTTCTCCTCACCGTAAGCCTGAAACCACATTTGAGAAATATAATTAAAAAAATAAATTAATAAGGGCATAATAGTCTTTTTAGGTAAGACAGGGACCAAACACGCAATAAAAATAAACAATAGGGACCATCCGAGTTAAAAAAAATAAGTTAGAGACCAAAAACACAAATTCCACCAAACCACAGGGACTATTCGTGTAATTTACTCTTACTTTTCGTTTTGTTCATATTTAGGTAACTATTTTTTTTGTACACATCTAGGTAATGAACTTGTTAAAAGTGTTCACATCTAGGATGTAACCTGCTACAGCAGGTCATAATGGTCATATGTGAACACCTCCAACAAGTTTGTTACCTAGATGTGTACAAAAAAAAGATAGTTACCCAGATGTAAACAAACCGAAAAGTTAATTACCTTAATAAGTCATATTCCCTTTTCCATTAGTTAGTTAAGAGTTCACGTCTTATCGTGAATAAAGTGAATAAATATATAGATTTAAGAGTAATATTAGAGGGTATGTATTCACCGTTTATAAAATAAATATTCTTATGAAACTTGGTCCCAAAAAAGACCAAATCCCGGGCATCTAAAAGTGTTTGTATGTGTGGCTCATACAAAAATACTCCATGGGCATTTGAGTAAACTAGATGACCGACATGAGGCATTTGTTCATTTGGGAACTGAAATAGGAAGTAAAGATTATCGTTTACTTGACCCCAATAAAAATATTCGAACAAACAAGTATGTTCGATTTGAAGAAGATAAAGGTTGGTTATTAGAAGAATAAACAAGTTTCAAGGTAAACCCATGTCGTGCTTTTACTCTCGAAGGGTATCCTGATGAAGGGACTCCATCGACCCTTGAAACAAATGGTGAAGAAGTTCCTACTTCACCCATAAACCACCTTGAGATAAGTCTTGATCATGATCTGGACAGTCTACAAACCCCAGTCATATGAAGCTTTGCAAACACCAAGTACACAAAGTACACCCGAGCGATCATTTACTCATGAAGTGTCAAATAGCTCTTCATCAAGATCTACAACTCATGAAGTGTCAAATAGCTCTGCATCAAGATTTACAGAGGAAAAGTGTGCCCAAGAAGGTTCATATACTTGTTGATATATATAAGGACAATGTTAAACTACTTTTTAATGAATTAGTTGTTATGCAAGTTGATGATGAAACCATGTCATACACCGTTGCTACATTACACATCGACTAGGTGAAAATAATGAAAGTGGAGTTGGATGCGATTGAAAGTAAACAAACATGGAATCATGTTGAACTACCACCAAATTACAAACCAATGGACTAAAATGGGCCTATAAGTTGAAGAAGGGTCCAAACGGAAAGATAATAAAGTATAAAACAAGACTCGTGGCGAAGGGTTATGTTAGAAAAATAGGTATAGATTTTGAGGAATTCTTCGCACCCGTTGCTCGCATTGAAATAGTCAGATTCATATTCTCCATGTCAGGTAAGAATGATTGGCCAATACATTATCTTGATGTAAAATTATCATTCCTAAATGGAGTGTTAGAAAAGGAAGTGTACGTAACACAACCGAAGGGTTACATAAAACATGATCAACCAACAAAGGTGTACAAACTGTCCACGACACTCTATAGGTTTCTTCAAGCTCCTACAACTTGGAATGTGCTCCTTGATAAATGCTTAAAGGGTATAAAATTTGTAAGTTTCCCTCAAGAGTAAGCAGTGTACATTAGAAAAGTAAAAGGGTAACTCTTTGATAATTAGGATCTACGTGGATGATCGATTATTACCGGTGATTGTCAGGTTGAAGTAAAGGTTTTTAAGAAAAAAATGAGTAAGAAGTTCGAGATGAGTGATGTTGGTTTGTTGTGATTTTACTTGGGTATTGAAGCAGTTCGGGTCTATAGATGGTATGTAACGACCCGTATTTCTATACACCTAATCTAAGGGGAAATATCATAGTTTTCATACAATTGCGGAATTCAACTCTAATTAAAAAACCTTACTTCCCAGGATAAATCACGATTTTATAATAAAAATCTTCTTACAATCTAGAACAACAAGGAAATAAAACCTATTCTAAGTCCTTATGCTCCTGTCTTCACTTCTGGTACCACGACTGCTGCTACCTAAACCTGCAAAACATGAAACATCTCAACAACATCAGACAACAATGTATTATTAGTTATATTCTTTCTATTTTCATGTTCATATGATCTTACTATCTTTCATACTCTAATATTTCATCTTCTCTTATATCTCATACTCTACATCATAAACTCTTCTTCTCATTGCACAAACTACCGGTTTTTTCTCATCTAATCACATTTATCTATATTCTTATAATTCTTCTCATGCCTCAACATTCTATTCTCTCATACTCGTACTCTGTCCTCTATTATTCTTCTCCAATAACACACACTACTATTCTTACCAGTCATCTATCTCTTCTATCTTTCTTCTCTACTCTTTCTTATCTCGTTTATCTCTTTCTATGCCATCTACTCTATTTCTCACACTCTTCTCTATGCTCTAACTCTTAGCATGTCTTCACATGCTCTGCTTACTCTTCATCTCTCTATCTCTCCCTATCTTTCTCTCTCTCTCTATCTCTCTCTCTCTCTCTCTCTCTCTCTCTCTATTCTCAACTCTAATGCCTCATCTATACTCTAAGGGAAACAACATTCCACTTTCATTATCGGGTGAACTCATCTGGACTTACTCTTCTCTCTTATGATCCCTCGTGGATCCTTAATCTTTTTTTTCTGCTCTTGAACCCCTCATGGATTCCTTAATCTTTCTTTTTACTCTTAAATCCCTTACAGATTCCTTACTCTTAATCCTTCACAGATTACATCTAAGTTCTTACAAAGAACTCTCTTATCTCAGTCCTCTTAAGAAACCTTTCTATATCATCTCTAACCATACCTAAAGGGATTGACTATCTCTTTTCCCTGTAAGGACATAATCTCATTGCCATAGGAATCATACTCTTGTCCCCGTAGGAACAATACTCTCATTCCCGAAGGAATCATACTTTTGTCAACATAGGAACCTCTATCTCTTATTCCTGTAGGAATCTATATCTCTTGTCCCTGAAGGAACCGTACTTTGTCCCAATGGAACCTTCTATCTCTTGTTCCCGAAGGAACCATACCCTTGTTCCTAAAGGAACATTCTATCTCTACATCTTTATCTTTATTATGTGATTCATCACATAACACTAGTCGCGTGGACATCTATCTCTTTGTCTCATTAAGAGACCATCTAATCTTTCTCTTCTAGTAATCAACTCATTAAGTACTTAATCTCTATCTATCTGTAATAACATATTAGCATTTTACACAATACCATTAATGTCTAGACATAGATACATACTCCATGATTACACTACATGTAATCATCATCTAACTCTTTCTTCTATCTCTAAGGTATTTATCAAATACCCTTCTCATCCAAACCCACATACTCATGTATACATACATGCTCTGCTACATGTATCTTGCGTATACTTCTTACATACTCTTAATATGTGTACATGCTCTGATACATTTCTTACACACATATTCTTCTTCTATCTTCATCTCATTACTTGGGGACATTCACTTAGTGACCCAATCTCCAACACACACACACACACACACACACACACATATATATATATATATATATATATATATATATATATATATATATATATATATATGATGGGTTTCGAGCATTACAACATTCATATGGTGCACATGCAACCCTAATTGCTTTGGATCTAGGTTTTTCTCAAATTATACATGCATAATAATTTTCCAAAGCAAAACCCTAATATATCATACATATTTTCGAAATCAATAACTAAACCAAAGTTAGAAGAATACCTTTTCTTTGTTGATTGGTTGATCTTGACCTTCAAGAGCTTAGTGCCTCAATTGTTGCACCTCTAATGGAGTCACAAACACCACAAGAAATGGATGAATAAGAGAGAGAGAGAGAGAGAGAGAGTGTGTGTGTGTGTGTGTGTGTGTGGAGGCTACTAAAATCGGCTAGGATTCTCTATGAAAGCATAGGGCCGATTTCAACTAGCCAAGGGGTCCTTATATAGTTGTGTTGCTAGGGTTTTAGACTGAAACCCTAATTCTATGCTTAGGCCTTAAGCAATCTATGGATCCCTTCTAGAAGGCCCCTTGGACGAATTCTCTTATGGGCTTCCCATAGAATTCATCCACCCCTTCTATTAGGAGTCCACAGCCCAACCTGCAACTACCAGTAAATTGCAATATCAGTCCCCATATATTTAATCAGTCTCTTTTGATCATCAAATTAATTCCAAATTAATTATGATCAATACTAATTAAATAATATGATTTCTCAATTAATATATTATTCTT